GTGTGTGTGTGTGTGTGTGTGTGTGTGTGTGTGTGTGTGTGTGTGTGGTCACAGAACAGCTTGGCACAGCAGAGCAGGCTGCAGCAGTGTTGTGAAAGCAGCTCTTCCTGTTGAGTGATCATGAAACTGGGTGCACAGGGGGTCCTAAAGCATCCTGGTGCCTGATTTTTTTATTGCCTTGTTTTCCTCCACTTGGTGTTTTTGCAGCCCAACACGTGACCAGCCCCTCTCCTCCAGACCACTTGTTGGTCTTCGTTGAGGCAGCGCTAACTGCAGCCGTTTCCTGGCCACTTGATAGAGCCGAGCAGCCGAAGCTTCGCCCGCAGGTTTTCACTTTCCCCACCAGGCTGAACCCCGTCCTTAACCACATCCATCCTGCCTTCCTCAAACTCGACCGCACGCCCAAAACTGTTGCACATAAATCTTTTTCTCCATCTGTAGGAAACCCATTCAGTTTGTAGCACATGTACAAGATGTACACAAGAACTTCTGCAGCTTTTCAGGGCTCATAAATTCTCAACATTTACTTTTTCATTTCAATTCAGTTTATTCTTCAGCTCCAAGTCACAACAGAAGTCGTCTCAGGGACTGAACAGAAACATTCATCTATAAAATAATAATTGAACAGAAACATTCATCTATAAAATAATAATTAACATTATTTATCTATAAAATAATAATTTAACAGAAACATTCATGTATAAAATAATAATTGAACAGAAACATTCATGTATAAAATAATAATTGAACATTATTTATGTGAGGAGCAGCTTTGAGTTTAACTCCATCACTGAACTCTCATCTTGAACAAGCATGAAGGCGACAGTGGAAAGAAAAACTCCCTCATGAGGAAGAAACCTTTAGCAGAACCAGGATCAGGACAAGAGGACCATCTGCTTCCACCGGCTGGGTTTGGTAGGAATAGATACACAATGGCAGGTCAAGAATCACATGTTAAGATAGAAATAGTATCAAATGAAAACTATTAAATTTTAACAATTCATTTAAGGAAATGAGGTCAGTTTGTTCTCTAGTAGTCTAAGTCTATAGCAGCATAACAAGCCGACCCTAACTATAGGATTTATCAAGAAGGAAAGTCTTCAAACTGGACAATGTGTCAGCCTCATGGACAGAAACTGGAAGTTGGTTCTACAAGAGAGGAGCCTGAGAACTGAAAGATCTTCCTCCATTCTGCTGCTGTAAACTCTAGGAACCACAAGTAAACCTGCAGTCTGAGAGTGAAGTGCTCTGTTAGTAAAATATGGAACAATAAGATCTGTAATATAAGATGGATCTAGGTTGTTGAGAGCTTTGTAGGTTAGAAGTAAGATTTTGAATTCTATTCTGGATTTGACAGGGAGCCAATGGAGAGAAGCTAAAACTGGAGAAAT